TTCATCCGTATAGCACATACTTAGAAAACCGCGTAAGGTGCAACCCTGCATCCTTTTTTTTAACGCTAGAGAGGAAGAAAGAAAGAGAAAAAAACCAACCAGCTTCGTGGATTTTTTTCTTTGTCAAAATAGTAAGACACGCAATGTTTCATTGGATGAGTGAGACCAGTAGATTAGCACAAGTGGTGGAGGTGGGGCATAAATTATGCGGGTCCTGCGGTCAAATACCCTGGAGGGTATAGGTGAGCGGGTCCTCCAAAATTCATACTTATCAACTGTCTGGACTGTAATCACTTGATTCCGGAAAATTCAGAATAATACGAATGTGAAGCAAGTGATGAAAATGCTTATCACCGAGGGCGAATCCGATGCTAGTGTGAATACCAGGTCGTTGACTCCGTTGACTTAAATCCTTGCGTATTGCACAAACGAAGGGGGGAAAGGAATTTCGGGATCTCAAACTAGTAATAGGGCGTGTTTATGCTAAAAGGAACTTTGTGCATAGGATTTGCGAGAAGTAAAGTTTCTTTAAGCATGAATACGTCCAATACAGAGCTCTGGGATCCTAATTTTCAGGTTTTCAAAGATGTTTTAATTTTAGCTTTTTTCCAGGGATCTTCTTCACGAAATATCATGCTGCTGTACGTCTAGTTCTACCTCAAATCAGAATAATGACGATGACACTTGAATAACGGGGGGCTTGGTCCCTCGGGAAATTTTTGACATTTTAAATCTCTTTCGACGCAATCCGTAACGGAGATTTTCTATCAATTCCTGCAGAATAATTTGGTTTTATTTTTCCTTTCAGCACGAAATATCGAATTGCTGCATTCAATATAGATTCAAAATTTTTTCGAAATTTTACATCTATTTGGACACATTTTGAGGGTTTCGTGACGGAGATTTTCCATCAATTTCTGCAGAATATTTTTTGTTTACTTTCAGCCCTAAATACTTTCGAATTGATATTCAAACCAACTGGAAAATTTTTGAAATTTTTACTCTCTTTGGATGCGTTTTGAGGCTTCCATAATGAAAATTTTAGAAAATACTAACTGAATGAATACGGTGTTTTCATTTAAGATGCTGCATTAAGAGAGATAGCCATTCTTGACTTAGGTTTTTTCCTACCATCCAAAATTTCTGGCGGGAGGGGGGCAGATGATATACTATTTTCAATTCGAAGGGGGGCAGGTTCCTCTGAACCCCCTTTGTACGCCCATGGCAAAGTTTTTGAAAAACCGAAATACGTGTTTTTTCAAATTCACCATCCATATGTCATGCATTCTTTTGTGTTGCACGTACCTACCTGTAAGGATGGAAATGAAATACCTTGTTACGGATTCTGAAAAGCAAATCTGTAGCAACTGCGCGTTGAGCACCCGGAGTCATTAGTCATTACTCTACGGCTGTATTAATTACGATATTAGCGGGCGACGCACTCAAGCGCCCTTGTTTAATTATTTTAGCTACGGCAGTCTCGAGTTTTCGCGTTCGTTCGTCAGGCACTGATTGACCCGAGTTCAACGCCCAGACCCTCGAGTAGGCAAAACACAGCCGAACCGCAGCGTCATACCCCCATCTCTCACACAGGAACCATGTGGAATCGGCGGGATTTCAAAATTACCTCATTATGCGGTAACCATGCTGTTCACACGACAGATAACCAAAATACAGTAGAGTCCATTGGAGGATCCAGCAACTTGGCAACATTGTTTTTTCTCCATTCAAACCTATGGAAATGTATCGATTCTTGGAGGGGCTAGGTGCCCTGACAAGAATCAATTATTTGACATAGGCTTAAATGGAGGAAATCCGGTGTTGACAAATTGCTGGATCGGCTTCTGGGAGAGTCTTGATCATCCGCAGTAATCGCGGGACCGGAGCTACCGCGGATAAGCGAAATTCGCGGATAAGCCAAAACCAGGCGATTTGACCCGGAAAAGGGATTGGAAAAGACTGTATTTTAGACATCGGTCAAATAATAGATGGAAATGTAGTTTTCGGCTGAAAATGAATACATTTTATTTCAACGGAATTATTTTGTCTAACACCATTTCTGGAAGGACTTTTTTACAGACGTCGTTGCTATGAAATTGAAGAGTATTAGGTTCAAAGCCACCCCAAAAAAACAACGAATAATCCGGCCGAAATGCGGATGATCGAAGCGCGGTTAATCAAGAATTTTCTTTGAAGATTATCTGACAAACTGCATATCAATGGCAAGAGTTCGAAGCCACGTATTTCCGTTTGTAACGTTGCAGACTTCCTGTCATGCTTTATTCTGTCTCGGGAAAACTAGTCAACGTAATTCTTTTGATTCTGAAAACTTCTCTGATTTTTCTTTTCTATCCGTAAAATATTTTGTACAGATTTCAAACTATAAAGTTGACTTGTTCATCTTCGAAAGAATAAGACGAGAGCGGATATTTTGAAACACCGCAGTTAAGATACGCGTTTTGCACTTAGCCATCGATATGGGAAGGAAAAAACAAAAAGACTGAAATTTTCACATGTAAGATGCGTGTGCTCGAAACAGCAGTGGCTGCACGTAAGTAGGTACTGAATATACATAGGTACCGTTCGCTGTTTATACATGTCTAGTGACCTGTATTTCAACGGTGGAACTACAAAAAATGTAGTTATTCACCGGCATTCTTAATTTCAATGTTTGGAATTCTCGCTTCTATCTTTTTTTTTTTTCTTTTTTTCAAAAGAAAACGAACTAGTTTCTCTCATCGCGTTAAAACTGGGACCTTATTAAAAAAAAAAAAAAAGAATCGATCTCGGATAGTAGGTAGATCACGAGGCTACAGGCCATTCGAACTACTAAATGAACCATTTACTGTATGAACTACTTGGTGAATAACATCAATCACTGTTTCTTATGGGCGTTATTCCGTTATCTCCATTAATATTGAACTTAGAAACCCAGTGTTTGAACAGATCTGACTGGTTTTCGCTAATCTATGACCTAGTTGCACCCTTAAAAAACGATTCTCTGACACGCGCAACTGACACAGAATACTTGAAGATAACGGCGCTGGGATCTCTTTCTGCAACCGAATTTTGCAACTGACTCGCAAATTATCCGTGCAAGGAAAACATGGGACATTTCCGGATCCAACTATCCCTGGGCAGATAATCGGGAGAGATTGATTTGAAACCAAGGAGCGAGTAAGTAGGTCACAGCTACAACCATAGCAGCAACAGTAATTTTGAATTGAGGGTCGCTTCGGCCATCAGCCGAGGATCAATTCCACGCAAAATATTCTGACTATTTGAGGGTCCATGACGGCGATGCCACTTTTCACAATGGAGTTTTTTTCGAATGGTTATAATAGAGGGGGTTTCTTGGGTGCAGGGGTGCAGAAAGCTCCACAGCCTACACAGTTTCGAGCAACCGGGGATTCAGCACACGCACTATGACACTTATTCGTTCGCAGTAATAAATTTCACCCAAAAATAGCGCGTTCGCAGTAATTTTTTAAAAATTCAACGCGCTTTTACAGTAAATTTTTAAAAAAAAATTAACGCTGGCAATGCTTTCAAAAATTCAACACGTAATCAGTAATTTTCTAAGAGATATTCAACATTTACGCTGTAATTTTCTCGAAAATGCAACGCCCTCGCATCAGTTATGTAATAATAAGTGCGTTTGCACTAATTTTTATAAAATATCAACATCCTTGCCATAAGTTTTCGTAAAGATCAGTGCGTTGAGTATTCTTTTTTTTTAGAATAAAACAAATTTTTTTTATTCGTGTAACCGAACGTTTAGTTCATACAGCCGAACGTTCGGTTCATACAATCGAGCTTCTTTCATCAATTCTTTCAATCTCATAATTTCGGTTATACCAACGAACGTTTGGTTACACGAACTGAGAGTTGGCTTTGACGAACCGAATGGTTGGGATAAAATAGAACACCATGTTCTCCTTCATTTTGTGGCTATGAAATTTTACCTTCTTGGAAGTCAAAATGTGTGTAAAACGCGTTTCGCGCTATCCAACTTTTTTACTCCTGCGTTAGAGTCTCTGAGTCTGTTGAAAAGAGATGCTCCTTCATTATGTGGATACGCAATTTTACCTACTTAAAAGTTGAAATAATTGTATCAAGCGTTTTGCCCCATCCAATTTTTTTACTCCTGCGTTAAAGTCTCTGAGTCTGTTGAAGCGCCTGCAAAACTGTAGAAATACTTCAAGCACAGCGCCTCTGTAACCTCGCTCTCAGCCCTTGACTCGCGAATCGCGTTAAGTTCCGGCATGCGTACGCTTTTTGGAAATGCGTACACAACGTCGGAAGGTGTACGCTAAAATTGAAGCATTCTGATCAAGACATAATAAATTTCATATCATCTACTATTTAAGGTTGTAGCATACGCAATTTCGTACTGCCTACGCAGTTCGTGAACGACCAATCGGTCGTTAATTCGTAACAAATTCTGCACTCCTGCTTGGGTATTGCGTCATGTAATGTGCAACTCACATTAATAAAACACTTTAAGACCATAGAGATAGCCGACAAAAAAGTTAGGGAACTTTTTCTTCTTAAAGCTCTGAGAATGGAAAAGTGTTCAAAATGAGCTAGATGGTCAAACTAAAAGGGCTGAAAAGCCGAACATATTCTGTTCCTTTTATGTTAATTTATGAAAGCGATTACTTGAAGGTTTTTTTCCGAAAAATTATATAAAATAAAAAGAACTTGGCCGATGCACTTTCACACTATGATTACATCACATACAATCACTGATGAAAATCAGGGCGGAGGAAATCACAGGTTGCATATCAATGATAAATGATGTTATAGAAATTTGATTTCGAAGGGTGCTATTTTTGTTTATATTGGATGTTCACCATGCCGCTGGAACAGCTTTCATTTTTTTTACAGATCTATGGGTGTCATTGATTGAACCATGATTCTATGATGTGCATAACTGACCCATTGACGCTGGTTTGAACTTCACATGTATCGAATGAAAGGATGAAACAATAAAACGATTTAGGAAATAAATTTCGGTATATTCATTGAATTTTCAATAAGGTATAACATAACTTGATGTCCTGACATCTTGTTCAATAAAATAGTAGTAATAATGCAAAATAATTAGTGTTAAAGGTTAAGAGGCCATCCTTCAGGTCTCAAAATAACAATTAAGGGCCTGTTGGTGCGACCCATAACAATAGTTGTAGGATCTTCCAGTAAATCCATAGGGTTGGACCCAAAAGAGTCACTTTCATTTTATGACAATATTAAGAATTAAGTTGCAAATATATTAATAGTAACAAGCAGCTTATGAAAACAAAATTATCAACAACATTATCAATTGTAATACATACAGATTAAATGCATACTGCAAAAATTTTTTCACATTAGCAAGTAAAAAAAAGTATATAGGTAGTTAATACTTCTTTGTACAAATTAGGCCTTGTAAATACACTAAACCGAAGTTTAAAATAAACAGTTCAGAGAGGAAATAATTGCACACTTTGTCACCATTGATTTGGCATTTAGTAGTTAGTATTGACAGAGTAATGAGATTGAAGTGAGCTCGCAAAAGTGAGAATGGGATCCAATTAATTTTATCGATCAAGCAGAACAAAACCTTTTAAAATACAGAACATAGAAAAAATGAGTGATAAGGAAAAGGTTTCCACAATGATGCGGCTCCTTAGGAATATCGCAACACTTAAAAATTGAAATTTGAGAGCGTTGAAAGAAATGTCGAACCTTCTTTGAACATGGGTAAAGTTGGCTTTGAGTTTAAACAAAGAGTTGTAGAGTGAAAAAAGAAAATTATTCTGTCTTTGCAATGAAGGTATGAAAGTCACACCAAATGAGAGCAAATTTTGGACAGGAATTATTGAAACATTCTGTGCATTGTGAAGGTAACCAAATAGAGAAATAAGTACGTTAAGATATACATATTTTCAAATGCACACATGAATTTTTTCATATACTAGGATGTTTCATGTCTTTGTTACTGACAAAACAAAACAAAAAATATTGAAAAAAAAGAACCAAAAAAAAAAAAAAAATACCAGTTTACCGAAGAACAAAATCCAAAAGCCCATAAGCTCAAACCTAGGGTAAGTAAAGACAGCCCCGAAAAATTGACTAGTTTTAATGACAAAAGAAGTTATAAGCAATTAAAAAAAATTAGCAACAAACACAAAAATCATCATCCTCAAAAGCTTGGACGAAGGATGGGAGAAAATTTCAGGATGTAGACTTTCTTCTCTCCTGTTTATTCAAGGCCACTTAGAGTCAAACAAACCCTCGATCATGAGGTATTTAATCCTGGGATCAAATTCTAATCAACATTACACGCAGAATTTCGATCGAATTGGCATTTTTGTGAAATTTCTGAGCAATGTGCACGCCAAAGTTGACCGTGAGGGCTCAGCTCCGAATAAAATGACATACTGCGAAGAAAACTTTGGACAAAAATTAATTTTTTTCCCTCTTTTTCCCTCTACCAAATTATCTACTTTACTGTCACAGTGCACTACCTGTGGCTGGCAAAGTTCATTGGCTTATCATTCAGTTTTTCATTATGCTTCGACAAAAGAGAGAAAAGTCAGGATCTGAGTCAAAGATAGATGATGATAGTAAATATAATAAAAAAGTAGAAATGTTTAATACAAAGGATTAAAGTAGACTGTAGAGCAGAGGCAACAGTTTACACAGTAATGAAAAACTCCGGTACAGACTTGTGGCATTTGTTGTACGTCTATTACATATATCTGATGAAAATATTTGAATTTCCTTGTATGAACCATACTTGATTAAATAGCAAGCTTGAACCATTTGGCAAAATTCTGATTAAGTGCTGGTAGTTTACATTTAAAAAGATTGAAATTAAAATATTGAAATTCCAATCTTATCGCAACTGCAAAGGCCCCTGATCATAATGCTAAGACATTTGGTGCCGCATTGACTGAATTTTGTTGTTATTGGAAATGTCCTTTACAAGCTCCCTCAAGGGATGAACTTTTAAAATTGAACTTTCTGTGTGCCAATGTCAAGAAAAGCAAGGCTGAAAAGAGAATGTTTGGACACTTTTATTTTTTCTATTGAGGATGCAGGAATGTTCCTAAGAGAGTGTGAAAGCAGCACCGCACGATGCTATAAGTCAGAAGAATTTGATTAAAATTGCGAACAAGGAAACTACAGCTATCTTTGATCACCGATGAGATGTTAAAATATTTTTACCAAGCGCGTGTGAAAACGCTGAAAATTTTACTTTTCAACCCCGCTTTCCCCAAAGTTGGGACTTAGAAATTCGATTTTAAAAATTCATTCCGCTTAGGTCATAAATGACATCATATCAAATAATAATGTAATTTAATCTGCACTGAATTCTTTGGTTTTCCCTGCAGGGCCCTGTAAGTTGGATTTGAGGGATTTGCTTCAATTACCACAGGGGCCCACAAATAACCTGCACCAATATCTTGATTTTTACCATGGTGCGGGTTGTATAAAGGCACTCTTTCACCATGTTTTTTACACATTCGTTATTCCACGACAAGCAAAAATTGAGGTGCAAGTTACTGGGTTACTCGCAAGCGCCTGTCATAATCATTTCCTGGGCAAAAAAAGAAATGGAAAAGGTATTCACAGCAAATCCTCCTAAGTTCTCTAGCTCCTCCTGAATCAAAAGCCTAAAATTTTTGACACCATTAATTTGATTGAAAAAATTGCAAGGAACCGTATTTGGCATGGATGTAAAATGATATTAAAAGACTTATTTGGCAGGCGCATCAAATATTGGCATATCCATCAAGTCTACAGGAATTCATTGAGCTTTCCAGTAATCGATGCTGATTAAATTAGTGGCAGGTCCCCTGCATTATTAATCTCTTTCTACGGAGTGTTAAAAATGTAAGAATCTTAAAAAAAACATCTGTCTCTTATATATGTGTTCATTAGAATTGACAAGATTTTTCAAGACAAGGGGGCATACTTAAAAATAGATGTTCATCAGGATTGTGAAGATTTTTAGTGTAACTCAGAAAAAATTCAATTCTTCGATTTGTGCTTGATTAATAATTATCTTAAAACAATATGGCTATGCATAATATCAGAAAAGAATTAATTTTTTGGCAAACGTAAGATTTATTTTCAATTGAAACTGCTTTGTGGAGAAAAATTGACGTAGAGATGGTACATTCATTTTTTTGTTTCAAACATCTTGAAAAAATATTGATTTCCTTTTTTTACAGAAATAGATCTTGATATTAATTGAATAGACGTTTTAATTTATCTAGGACTCGATTTGATGATGTGGAAGCATAACTTGTCTTTGAGTCGAAAATTACTTTTTGTGATATTAATGTACCTTATTAAAAAGAAAGAAGAAAAAAAAGAACCTAAGAATAAAAGGAAAAAGTATCAGTGAAATTTTCTCCTGATGGTTTTCATCTATAATTGAATTTCTAAAACTGAATATTTTCCCCGAAGTTACGATGAAATATTTGGACCATAACAGCCAAATGATTCAATTTCAATGAATCAATGAAAATAGTATAAAATCACAACAAAGGAAAAATATTATCATCCTAAAATACACATTCTACAATGCTGGAGATCAGCCTTTGTTTTAAATAATTTCGAGAGAAAAAAGAAGTATAAAGAGAAGTAGAAAAAATTGACCACAGATTGCAAGCTAAGCATTGGCAGCAATTATTTACGACTGGAACAGTCTGAAGTTACGATTTTTTGTCTGGTAACAGGTCACGGCTTGAAGTCTTTGATAGAGGTAATACTGATTTTGAGACACAAGACTGAAGATTAATGCAATGTGATGGACGGTATTTAGATTTTCTCTCATCGCTGGAATCGCTGGTATCAAAGCCCGAGTCATCTTGGTCTCGTGTAAGTCCAGAGCCGAGAGAGGGATGAATAAACCTTACATCTGTCTCCATTGGAGATACAGTCTCTGAATGATCACTGTTTTCGCTTGATTTATAGGAGTAGCGGCGCAGTGGAGAGGACCAGCCAACAGACTCAGAGACTTTTTCCCTGGCTTCTTCTTCCGTTACAATTTTTGAAATGTACTTGACTAACATTTCAAAGAAATCTGGGAAGCCCTCGTATCCTGAAAAGGTAGGAAAAGATAGATCGATGAAAACAAAGCAATGCTAGGACCCAATAAAACGTGCAACAGTCTTAACTTTTGTTATGAACAAGAGTCAATTTTCAGAACTTGCCTTGTGTGAAACAGACACTGAATTTTAAACGAACAGTATCATTTTTGGTTTTTATAAAAAAAACATCTGGATTTTCAAAATGACTTAATGGTTACACTATGATAGTGAGTCAACTCACTAACAATGACATTTTGAGAGAATTATCAAGTCACCTTTCGATAGAATACAAGGTTTCACTTGAAAGCCATAAGTATTATGATAGACAAGACCAACTTTGCAGAGATCAGCTCCTTAGTGCTGCAGTGAGTGAGGCCATGCACAAATGATGAAAAACTTCACTAAGCAAATCCAATTCTCTCAAACTGCTAAAAAAAATTTCTGATTTCCAGTTGATGGTGTTGAGGGGATTATTGAGAGCATTATGTAAAAGGAATGATAAGATTTGGCCCGCTCTGGTGCCCCCAATATTAAGAAAAAAAACTAAATTTGAGCTGTAAGTAAGTGTTTGAGAAAAAAAGATAAGGTTTTGCAGTACAGAATCCATCAAAATGAATGAGAGATGAAAATTCATATTTCTGAAAAATGAGCCCTTTAGGAAATTAATTGATAGTTTTGAAAATCCAGAAGATGTCTTACCAGGAAACACATTAACATCGATAATGGCGTATTTTCCGGTGTCATTAGTGACGATAAAGTCAATGCCAAAAAGAGACAGCCCCAATTCTTGCCGAATAATAGACACAAGCGCATCTGTTTTGTTCTTATCGATGACAGGAGGCGAAGAAGAAGCATCTCCTGCATCCAGGACGTTGAGGCACGAAGTCGAGCCAGGCTTTGAAACATCGTGGGAGTGAAAGAAAATTGACTGCTCTGACTCTGCAAAAGGCAAACATGGGATTGATAGCAATTCTTTTGACAAAATAGACCAGTTTTATCCAAGAAAAACTCATCTGAGGGAAATTTCAAGGATCTAGACACCATTCCATTATACTCATTTTGAAATTTTTTTTTTTTTTTTTTTTTTTTTTTTTTTTTTTTTTTAGGTGCCTTCAATACCCTTCATGATTTTAAAGGGGACGGCAACCTTAATGACAAGTTTGGCTGACTCGACGAAGAAAAGTGTGGAATGAACGATGCCGAAATCTGTTTGCAAATATCTGCATTCGTTGAGCCGCTATTGCGAAAAAACAGCTAAGCGCGTGACATCATGAGATACCTTCCCGCTTCAATTTTTAATACTACCTCAATTTCGATTTTAGGATTGCCGTCCCCTTTAACTGAGAGAAAACCTCTTAGTAACTTTCAGTAAGACTTCCTTGTCGATGAGAAAATATAATTGGAGCAACTTGAGATACCAGAGTTGCAAAAAATGACTGATCTCACTCACAGTGCGGATCACAATAAAGAAAAGACAAATCTTGGGCTATGAAAAAATTAGCAAGAGTGATCATCTTTCATGACATATGATAAAAATTTTACACTAAGGGTCTTACACAAAATATGCTAAAATGTTTCAAACATGGGTTTTTGACTCCCCCTATCCTTAGTAACGCACCCATGACACAGGTCTGATCCCCTCTAAAAAAACCCTTCTGTTAGAACCCCTTTCTCCCTTAGATGAACGTTTTGGGGTGAATTTTGGATGAAAAATTATAAAGTTGCGTTTCTAGATTTAAAATGCCAAATTAACACTAGAAAGTTACCTATCACACTCCTGCGAGTTGATTGTTAAAATTGGTAGACAAAGCAATGGACAAGGAAGACAAAAAGGATATGGAGAGATCCTGTTGACAGAAGCGGGTGGTTGCAATGGACAAAGGAGGTAGGTAATGGACAAACTAACGACAACCCACAATAGACCCTTTAGTAACTCCATCATTTTCTCCCTTTGTCTATTGGAACCACCCATTTCAACCTGTAGGATCGCTCTATACATACCTTTTATGTCTTCTTTGTCTATCGCTTTGTCTGTCAGTTTCGACAATCAGCCTACTGAACATCCCCCTCCCCTCAGTAATGCTTTCATGTCATAGGCTTAAATGCACCCTTCCCTCCTGTTATCCCATCCTCTTTAAGTATTTTATGAATGGCCCAGCCCCTGCAGCAAAAGCTCACATGGCAAGAAATGGTCCACATTTTGGAGCTTTTTGCGCCCTTGAGGGATCCTTCTTCATCAGTTGCACATTGATAAATTAAGGAGAAACTTGACTGTTATTCTCATTTTAGGTGCATTACTTAACTTCCATTTCAAACCAAAACAAGAATTGACTGACAAAGAGCTTCATTAGTTTACAGTCCATAATTACGACTAGTTTTAGACTTACCTGATGGTTGAAAGTTCTTCAGAGAAGGTCTCTCAACAATTTGATACACATCACCAACAACGAATATTTTGAAAAGAAGGGCGTTGTGGTTAATGAAGGATTGAGCAACACATGGAGGCTCACAGTCAGAGAGATTTCGCTCATTGAAAATAACAGCCATCTGTAAGAGAACGAGAAAGTTCAATCCATGAGAGATGGTTTTGGGGGTATAAAATTTGTTTTGTCAAGGTTAAGATGTCCACTAGAAATTTTTGCACAGCCAACTAAAAAAAAGGGATTATGCTAATAACTGCTGTTTTGATCCCATTATAGTATAAAAATGTTTCAAAACTGGCACTTCTACTGTATATAGAAAAAAAGAAAAGGAGACTAACAATAAGCTGTCCGATTTCATACTACAGACAAAAAAGATGAGTTTCAAAAGTAAAGCTTTTCTATAAAAGAGTGGTGTTCTTGCTGATGCATGTACATTCTAATGGTTCTGTCATGATAAAATTGTTTGATAACATATAAAAATTCAAACTAATGCAGTTTGACGCAAGAGTCGTTTAGAGAGAAAGTTAGTAATTTTGCCAACGTGCGTTAGAGCTCATACAAAGACCATAAAAAGGTGACTGAACTTTTTATAACAAAATATCCATTGATGAGAGATCAGAAACATAAGCTGGTACAATCAAGAGTGATTACCATCTCTTCAGCAAAAAATGTAAGCCCTGGTGCCGATTTATACACACATTGTTGGAGATTAACTTCACTTTTCCTGAACCTCTGTTTAAATAGAAAAAAAAGAAAGAAAAAATTACTCACTTTGTGGCTATCAACTGATCCAGCATGAGTGTGTGAGGGAGATGGCTTGCAAACTAAAAAGAAGAAGTTAACATGAGCGAAATTGTTTTACCCATAGTAAAAATAGAAAAACTGAGACCAACCATTTAGGATGATAGCAATTGTTCGTTGCGCTCCAACTTTTATAGTCAACAACTGATCACTCATACAAAAAAGTTACATAATATCTGATGAAATAACACTGCCTCATGAGAAAGTAGGTCCTTTGAAAGTAAATTTTTAAATTTTATTCTTATCTTACTCAGAATTTTAATTTTTGAGTTCACTTGAAATTGTACTTAAATGTTAAAAATTTAATATTTTACATGTTGGACCTGACAGGGGAGGGTCCTTATTGTGAGGAATTTTTCACTAAATACTAAAAGTATTTGGGGCGCAAATTTTCACATTAGCATATTTTTAGCAACTGAAAAACGCTATGGTGAGCCCAGAAACATCCTCCTTTGTATTTTGTCATGTTTTTAGCGATTTTTTCTGAGTGTTAGGCTGCTTAAAATTCGATTTTGATACTTGTGCTCTGGAAAAAATATGATCTTTGCATTCTCTGATACTTCTGAATACTTATGATTTACAAATCTGTTCAAAACAGATAAATTATGAACACCTCAGAAAATCGAAGTATGAAAAAAATTTGAAATGATTGACTAAGCAAAGTACATACCAAAGGGAAAAGTCACTTTCGCAGCTTTCAATTTTTTCAAATTTTCGACTGGATCTGTTGACGTGAGTTCCACAAAACTTGGAATAAAAACATCTGGAAACAAATAAAACACCGGTGACAATGTTATCTCAGATGATATGGTATTATGAATGAACACACAAAGGAAAACATGATTTTTTACAGGTTTTTAAAACTTTAGTCCACAATATTTTTGATTACACAAAGCTGGCACAAGTTTCTTCCCACAAATATATACTTTGTTGATTCTGAAGGTCAAGTTCTTGTTTTAGTATTTTTGAAATTCTTCTTAAAACACTGAGAATGGCAAAATTTGTTGCAAGTTGGCTTTTTTCTGATTTTACAAAAGACAGAGAACCTTTTAGATGTCATAAAAATTCTAGAGATAAGACACAATCAGTGTTGGCCAACTATGGCTGATGACAAAAATAAATGCAATTAAAAAACAGAAACATGTTTCTTTTTAAACGACACAAAAGGTCAACATTAAGTAGTTATTGAGCTTCGAATTTTGAATGGTACGATTTATGGGCAGACAGAAATCCATGGACTGAAAATTAATTGCATTTTGAAGCTTTCCCACAGGAACAAAGATTTCCACAACGGACTAGAGAAAAACTGGAAAATACTACTAATGGTAATGAATTTACATACCATGTTTTTCTAATTCCTCGATTGAAATAGCAGAATAACAGTGAAAGCGATTTAGCACTTTCCGAACGTTGTCTAAAGGATCGATGACTATTACTTTTGGGTGATCTTGAACATACGTTTCTACACGTTCAACCATGGAAATTGACTAAGGGCAAGAACAAAAAAAATCATCTTCATTACGGAGTGAAATAAAAGAGTAGGGTAATCGTTTGAATTTTTATATTTGAAAATTTCAATTTCAATCGTTCTTCATTAGGCTCATTTAAGAACCTGCTTTGATTGTTAAAAATATACATCAAGTTTCTTCATTAATATGTTTTTCTTGCTTTCTTCATGTTTTTTGACATAATAATAAGGTATAAAATGGTATCAAAGAGGACGATACTAACTACATGATAAATAATGATACAATTTTCAGCCTTACTTACTTTACTTGCTCCCCGTTATTCAACACAAAAGCCTTATAGCTAGGAAATTTCTTTTAAATTTATCACACTCAACATCATTTCTTATTCCTTTAGTTTCTTTTAGTTTTCCAATATTCAAAATACCAATATATGATCAAAGAAACTCTTGCCCCTTTTATCCTCTTTTGTACTTTCTATCACTGATTTCATCAACATTGAAAAAATACAAATGAATAAATAAGGAATGGACTTTTCAAGTAAAGTCAGCAACAATGGAAAAAGTGAGTTGTTGAGAGCTATAAACTTTCTGGGTCTTGAAGTGAGAACGGAGAGGGAAAAGGAGGGGGGTTGTGTTCAAACTTAAATGAACAGGAAGTGAGTGAATTTAGTGAGCAGACAAGGATAGCGGATAATTATGCATGTCAAGGTCATCAAGGCTGACTGACATGCACCTCTCTGACCTCTCTTGCTTCTCCATCTAGATAGAACTGAGACTGGTTGCACACGTCAATATCTTGATAAAAGTTGATTGGATTGGAGGAATATTAAATGCAACATAAAGGGCCATTGTTTTAGCAATTACATTTTCAGGAGTTGAACAGTGAAACATTGTTTAGACGGTAAATTCAAATTTTCCTATTATTTACGTGATCAACAGATTAATTTCCTCATTTTACTTTGGTGCTTAATAATAGAATGGGGCATTCAGAGGGCGGATGGCCTGCACACAAAAGGTTAAGCTCATTAATGAAGAGGTCAAACTGAAATCAATAATTAAAAATAGATAAACAACAGAAGATAAATGTTTTGAGAGGAGGAAAAAATGCATTATTGAACACACATAATTAGTTTAAAATTAAAAATATCCTTTGCTGAGATTACCTTTTCATCAGTTCCAACCAAGATATCCGTCATTTTATGAAGAATTACAGAGAATGGTCCTTGCTCTTCCAGAGGCTTATTAAGATCCAGCTAAAATGGGAGAAAATAGATTCTGTAATCATTACCATAGGACAATGGGGAGGAGAGTTTTTCACAGCAAAAATTAGTGGTGCGCTCAGCCTCTAAATTTCCTCCTTCCTCAAGAATGGTCAAAAGTAAACATTAAGCCAAATTATTTAAAAAATTTAAAAACAACCATCTGAAAAAAGTCAATAGTTTCAAAACTCATCAGTTAGGAGGAGACACCAAAAGGATAAAATGCATGCATTTTTTGTCACTGTATTTTTTCTTGAGACTTTTTTCCCAGTGTCATCATTTTAAAAAAGGGACTTATTGGTTTTGTCATGTTTGCCACTGCTATTCTGGTATCTTATATTATTTTTTTGGAATCTCTATAATTGGACTTACATACGTGCGTTTCTGAATAAATAAATTGTTTGTATGTTGAGGAAAAAATTTGGAATCACAACGATCAGCTGGCATTTTGGAAATTGATTCATACCTATATGAGGGGTTTCCTAGAAAAATAGGTTTCTAGAATTCTTGGCCAACTAAGTGTTCTGGTCAAATACTTTCGTTTTACAAACAGTTAAAGCGCTATTTACGACAGCTATTTATACAAATTTATCAATTAACTTGCCTGGCTGCCAGAAGGAAATTGATACAATTGCTACGAACAACATTCACTAGGTTGTGACCAATTTTGTTAAACTTCAGATGCCTGCAAGTTTTCATTTTATTCTTTGTGAAAATAAAGAAATTTAAAACTGCTCAAGTTTTACTCATCCGATTCCAATTCCCATATCAACATTTCTTCAGAGACCACTAACTTACAAAAAGTGTCAAATCTCAGCACCTGCCTACTCCTTTTCTCTGGTGACCTTTCTGACATTATAAGTGATAGAAAAAAAAAGCGCCGTGTAATGAGTGATACCTATTTGAAATAATTTTTAAAGCATTTTTCTGAGATATTCTGGTAGTAATCATAACACTGCCAATATGTTGTAATATTGGCGATGTTGTTTCCAAAAAATTATGTAAGTCAGTGCCTCAGTTTCTCTTAAATATTATTTACTAGCAAGGTCATAAGTTGTACGCAAGTTCTGACATTCTACTGTGATCCACTTTTGTAAAAAGTGTGCACAGCCCATTAGAGAGAGGATACACGATAAAATTGAATTGGGTCGACAACAAACCAAGTTCCAGCAGATTAGGAAATGATTGCTCACCTTCACAAGGTGAAATCCATGATTCCTGAAACAAAAGAGATTTAAGATGTGATTCATATTAAATAAGAAATAGATATGAGAGGGTACGATGTCAATATTTTATTGGCAAAGCGCCCGCACTTAAGTCTTCAAAGGATTTTGTCTGCCTTATAACTTTATCTTTCTCAAACAGAGCCAAGATTGCACTAGTGAGATAGCGTTCAGGAAGCAGTAAAATAATTCTAGTGAGTCTAAAATAATTTGAAGAGTATGTATACTTGGTACAGAGATTCCCACACTGCAGCATACATTAAAAACACTTTCAATTCTCTCTTTCAAACATTAGATGAGAGCCAAAAGTTTGAATTTGTGATTCAGAATCTATAAGATATTGTAATTCTTAAGACAATCAGACATTGCGATGATCATTGAAATGAGGGGGAGATGATTCACATGTATCGTCATCGTCATTCATCAAAGTGTCCCATTTAATGTAACCATATTTCAAACAGAACAAAATACAATACTGTGTTAAATATAATTGACAAGATTTTGCTTAAGAAGTTAATTAAATATTCCTGTTAAAAAAGATAATATCTTACCTGCAAATTTGACCGAAATCAAGCCAATTCTTCTTTTTGGATTTCTTATCAGACAGCCAATAACCTATTATACGTTGCGGTTTTTTGGCAACTTCCTCGGTGGCACTCATTGTTAAGCTGCAATTCACACTTGATAAGAGAGGTAAAATGGTTATGAAACGATGTAAAAAGCTACTTTAATTAAAAAGGACATTATTCGCAATGATAAGTAGTTAGAAAAACATCCGGAGCTCAGTGCGCGTCTCGAAAATCTAACCTGGAAAGCAGGTTCTTTTGGATGTTTACTTTTTGCAGGCAAAGACCCCCTCGGAATGAGCAGGCAAGATGGCTGCGTGGCGCGACGGGAACTCAGAGCAGTTCGAGCACTCTCTAACCAATACCTACTATAACCCATCCTATCGTCTGCCGTCTCCTGCGTCTCCCCACCTTATCCATCCACATAATCATGTCTCCAATAATGTAAAATGAATCAGTGAGCTCGAAAACACTCCAACACGGGTTTTTTTCGATTTTCACTTTTTTACGGTTTAGTAACACTTATGGATAAGTAGAAGCATCTGCACGCAAAAGGATATTTCGAAATTGCAATCGGAAGTGCTCGAAACGGCGACGGGAAAAGGGAAGAATCGAAGAATTTCATTGGAGATACCAATTTTTGGCCGATCAAGGGAAACGGGCGACTATCCGATGCGGTTTTATTTTTTCGGTTCAGTATACCTTGTGCCAACAAGTTATATAAATATTCAAGCGTTAGTCAGGTCAAAAAATATAAATTTTTTAGGGCAGACTATGAAAAATCAGTATCTGAAACTTGGTGCGTTAAAGTCTCTAGAGTACTTCTTGCGTCCTTTGGCACCAAAAAAGTTAATCTTAAACTAACTTCTTCGCCCGCTGCGAAGTTTTAGGTGTTTCCTGAAAATTTTTTTTCCGAGTTGGTGTATTTTCGAACTCACTGATTCAAATGTCATCTTAGGTACCTAATGCTATATTTANGCTATCTTAGTTTTTAGCTGCCATAGCTTTATCCTGAAAACATTTATACCTTGTGCGCATACAATCCTCAAACTCATCCCTTATCATCTGGCATCCTCTGCCTATTTAGCAATAAGTAAATCCTCCAATCAAACATACATGGCTCAGATATAAATTAAAGCCCCCCTCCCCCCCGTGTTTTCCACCAAAATTCAAAATGTAAATAGGTACGTTTAAGATTAATTTCAATGCCTCAGAACGCTGGGGCCCCCACACAAGCTTGTGATTTCTCCATAAATTCTAAAGATTCTCCATCCTCAATCCTTAAATAAATTATTTCATAATAATTATGTCAATAATTATATTATGTCCTTAAATTATATCAGAAAAATATCTTGCCAAAGTATTTTGAGAATTACCCTGGTTGACTTGGGTTGGACTCGTTTAGAAATTTAATCTCAATCAAAAATGCCAATTCCCTGAGCTGAGCAGTTTAATTTTTCTCCGCGAGTGAAATTTGTGCTTGGCGCCATTAGGAGCAAAGAGTAGGGGAGAGGAGAGAGCAACAGAGCAGAATCATGGAGTCCGAGCGAGCTGCACGCACGCTCCACCAGCTACTCCCGCTCTGTGATCGCCTGCACATCGTAGGGGGTCTTTGCCTGCAAAAACGCTCAATCGATGGTGGTCTTGTCAGATTGTTGACATCTTTGGTCGACGTCACGATAGTGGGAGCCAATGGGAAGAGGATCATGCTCTTATGGCGCGACGCGGCGGCAATGCGAATCAAGTTACAGATTTATTTTATTTGACCAGAAGTCAATTTCTTTATGGAGGTCAATGGATTTCGACCGAATGCCGTGAGTAAATTAAAAAATTAGCGAGTCTGTTTTACTACATTCCTCCAAAAATGGACCGCGTTTAACAGAAAGGAACCAAGTCACATCAGCTGTAGCCAAATTTAACTGGTTAATTTGATTTTTTACGAGAGAACGTTTGTGCGAATTCCTTTGAAAATTTTAAGGGATTTGCTCGTACCTACTGTGGAGAAAATTCACAGAGATTTGCATGAAAATCCGCACAACCGTTTTCATGTAAAAAATTAAAATTGACATTAGGTGATGTTCCTTTCTGTTTAACACGATCCAAATGCAAACCGACATAGAAAGAGAGACTTTTATTAATAAATCTCCTACTGTCGGCTCTGGCGGCTGCACCGGAAGCAAGTACAATCAATAGAAAAAAAAATCAGACATAAAAAAAGAGGGAAAAATTTAGTGTCATCAGGGAATTTTTGATGACTACCCTTAGAAATCTCAAGCTGGGCCAGATGGACACGGATGATAGTTATGGTACCGGTAGATACGAGCTTTCGACATAGGTAGATCTACAAATGCATCCTAAAAAAGAATCAGACATCAATTAATTGAAAAAAAGAAAATAATCAAGTGACAACCGAAGATCAATGAGATGTATTCGGGTCGCGATTTTTAACTTATCGCCCGAATCTGAGTTGCACCTAACTGGCAGCATAGAGCGAAGCATTGCGAGTTCACTCCTAGCTCGCGCCATCGCGCCTTCAATTTTGCTAGATGCAACGCGGACATCCATCAAGTACGAATAGTTGTATCTCTTCGCCGTCATCAATGTGCGACCTATTCCTTCCTCTATTCCCACATTTTGTCGGTTCCGTTTGTCTTATTTGTTGTGGTGCTTCAAGGGCTACGTGAGCAACACGAAAATCAGACAGCTTCGTTTATTAACTTTCGCCCCGAATCCGAGCGACTCCTAATTGGCAGCGTAGAGCGGAGATTTGATAGATCATCGCGCCATCGCGCCTTCAATTTATCAAACGCAGCACGGACAATCATCAAGCACGAATAGTTGCATCTCTGCGCCGTCATCAACGCGAATTTCGGTCTCCATTATTTTATGAATTTAAGGAAAGTTAAGACTAAGTATCCTACTTTTGTCAGTCCATCCTGTTTGCAACTGTGTATTTCTGTGTTCTCATATGCATACTCTCTATAACTCTACTAAATATTCATTTTTATTTCCATAGATGGAACTAAGTATTTTTGAAGGAAGACGCAGAAAGGGGCAGGGACAGAGTATTCTCCTTTGTGTCCCCGTCCCTTCAATGATGTTCCACTTAGCATTATTGGATGGAACTGAGCTTAAAGGAAACTATTTTTTCATGAATATTTTTCTCTCAAATTTCAATTTCTTAGTTGATGATTATTGAATACACCTGACTATGTCCACGCAATTTCAACAAAGCATAATGCTACCTAATTTACATTTATTTAGAGCGTAACAGTGCATAACTTGTAATTACATAACAAAACAAAAAAAAATAGAGCAAAGTAAAAACGTTTATTTTTTACGTCACTTACAATAATGACAATTAAAAGATTCTGGAGAACACAAAGAGAGTGATATAAAAGTTACTAAGACATAGTGGAGAGTACAAAATAATTAATCTTAGCTACATGAGAATACTTTTAGAAACTCGGTTTCGTTATAATCCAAGTCCAAAATTGCTCACAGCTGGATCTGATTCTTGGAAGATAACTTTAGAAATCTACCAATGTGGATAACATAATTATCCTATCTTATTGTTAGTAATGAGATTCATTTGAGTATTCCAGTTACTTATCAACCAAAATAATGCTCTTTCAATCAAATCACCAAGACGTGAAACATTAAATGAAGAGCTTGGAGGACAAGGCGCATAGGTATGTGCAGTTTTTGGAGAAATTGAGATATTAATGATTTCAAGTGAAAATAGTCTTAATGTATATTTTGTCAAAAATTCGCTCCCAAATTCCAATTTTTAAGCATCAATAAGTCAGTTTGAATTCTCTTTCCGGCATAAGGAACCATGTAAGTAATTTCGAAATTTCAAACACTTATTTCTCGAAATAACAAAAACTGCACCAATGCGCCTTGTCCTCCAAGCCCCGCAAATGGACCATTCTTACCAAGTCATCGATGGTTTTTGCAGGAAAAAGAAAAAGAACCCGACTTGAACCTTCAGAGATCATCTCCCCTCGTTTGGTTGCGAAACCATCGTGGTCAAGTCTTTTGTCTATAATGAACTAGGATTACGTGACAGTCACGCCGAAATATAAAATACAATCCTAACAGGACATGAGTCTAATCGTTAATATATCTACAATTTGTACAATTTGTCCAATTTGTCGATGAGCGTACAGATTCGGCTCGTTAAGTGATGGAGATGGCGTCCATGACGCTGTTGATTTGGTGGATGGTGGAACCGTCGAACAAGAGCTCCCAGTATTTTTGCGCCACTTTTTTGACAGCTTCTCCGACCTCAGGGTCTGAGTGGAGCATTTCTAGCCGAGCGGATATCTTTCCGCCCATGAGCTCGTTCAATTCCGCCTCCGATTTTCCGTCGCCTGATAATCCTGTCATGTTCACCTAAAAGCAAAATAAAATCATGAAAGTAACGCAAAACGCATAACGCCTGAGACGCGAGGCGCGAGGCGCGCTGTGGGGGTTGGGCCGCGAGGCGGTCTGGGGGCGTAGCCTCTTAGCTCACCAAATTCTTGTGATGAATCAAAAATGATGATGGCTAAATTCTGAAAACATGTAGCTCAATTACAGCGTTTCAAAATCGCATTTACATATTTTACGTTCCTGACGATAAACTAACTAATATGATGCGGCCGCTGGATTTTTACGGAATAATCGTGACAGGATCGAGAAAAATCGAAGTTATACAAGATATATACTTAATAACGAGATGTTGCTTCTTTAAATAAAATACGAAAGGGAGTTGGCAACGTCGCATTTTGAGGTACGCTTTTTTTGAGTTTAGCCAGTGATAAGTAATTTGCTAGCCGTTTGCAACATCGACATGCTTAAAACCTCTGTTCAAGGCTTCATTTCGTTCTAAACCCTATTTGTAAAATCGACGAAAAAATATTTTAGCGACTTCCCAAGACAGTATACTTAGAGCTAAACACTAAGTGAAAGGTACTTTAGAGGATCAACACCACTTTTGCGGGGTGCTGACTGACTGAGAAGCGTTTTTAGCTATTTGCCTCATAAAATAAAGAGTACAAACTTAGCCAACACGCGAATTCATGCGACTATTGATGGATAATTTACAGCCATCAATACGGCATAATGCGGCTGTCTCAAGGTGACAAAAACGCATAAATGAAGCATCATTGAATACTAGAATGAACTTTAAACCACAGATAATCTGTGTTTGATTCTAAATTAAGTACCTACCTATTTTTCCTCACTTTTTTTGTATAATTTATCTTTATCACTCGGAATATACCACGGAAAATGGGTTTAATTTTTTGTAAACCACAATAATTGCATTTTTCCTCGTTTACTACTATTATTACTTACTTTTAGTGCTCCTGGTTTCATCTCAAGCTTGAAGTCTTTCAGAGAAACAAAGCTGTCAGCATCTTCTTCCAGGGACATCTTCATTGAAACGTCCACATTGTCTGACCTGATACTAAAATTAGTAATGAAAGAAAAGGGAAAAATCCACATTAATAATTGAAATTCAGAAACGTCACTAAGCGAATGCAAAGCGTAAGCGATTATTCCTTGTCAAGAGTTACTTTTTCCTTGTACAGGCAAATTCAATTTGTAGTTGCATGGAAAAAAACTATCAGTTCGCCTGAAATCTCTGGTGTAGGCAACAATACACTCTTCAAGCCTTCAGCTTCAAAGCAACACCGTGGAGTTAAATATGCACCTGTCACCTTCCCCCTCTTTTCCGTCAATTTTAACCGCTCTCTCCTTCCTTTCTCCTCCTTTCCATCCCTGCTCTCTCCCCATTTACCCTCTCCTCCGTCTTTCCTCATCTATCTTAGTTTTCAGTGAGAGTCTTAGTATTAGGTACAACTTATTTTTTATAATCACAATTTTTTTTATCACAGAGTTTTTATTTATACATTTTTTGGTAGAGGAATAGCATTAACGAATGTAAACCATGTTTTTTTTTTTGGTTTTTTTCCTACTTCAAGTAGCCCACAAGGGCTAATCCCAGTGGCGTGGCGTGAATTGCGATGTATCGATTGTTATGCCATTTAAACCTATGGTAAAGAATCGATTATTAAGGTGCTCGCTGCGAACACCCTGTTCATCGATCCTTTTTCATAGGTTTAAATGACAGATCAATCGATACATCGCAAAGCACGCCACGCCACTGGCTAATCCTGCGCTCCGTGTCCGTGTTCATTTGTCGAATTCGTTATACGTGGATCTTACACTTGAATCTCATCTCTTATTGACGATAAGACGATAATTATGATGAAAAATGACACGTATAGATGATTCAAGCAATATTTATGATTTTTATTAAATACCAATACTTATAAAATTAATGCTTTGCTTTATAAAAAGAAAAATGAACTAAAATCCTGTGAATTTATCACATAGGAAGGGTGAGCATTAGAGAAGTATAATTAATGTGCTTACTCAAAGGGTCCTTTGCCTGTGAGTTTGGAGTCGGAGTCGAAAATCTCCAAGTCCATGTCGTAGATGCCGTCCATTTTGAGTGAATCTAGACTCAATTTCACGCTTAAATCTGTGTCATCCACCTCAACAGCATTGACTTTGTACTTAGAAAAATTTTCCAAGGATAAGTCATTTATTACTCCTCGAGACCTGGAAAAAAAATATTTTTTAGAAAGTCTCGTATACCTACCTCATTCGTCTGATGGACATTGGCCCTATCTTGCAAAAGTTATTGTCAATCGAGGTCAATCAACAACAAATCGATGGGTTTTTCAGTCGACTCGCTAAATCCTAGATTTGTGTGTGTTTTTTTTTTTTTTTTTTTTGGTCAAAGTTTCCCGAGAAGATAAATTTTTGGGAACGATAATGTAGATTATATCTTTATGGGGCGAGTACGGACTTGTCGGTAATTTAAAGTTTGGATCATGGAGTTTTTAGGGTCCAAGAGGACAGCCAACTTATGAGGTTAAAGGACATTTCGTCAACGATTTTTTGTCCGCGCACCTCTTTTTTCCAGTAATTTACATCCACGCATTTTTTCGGCACGGGAGTTTTGGTCCACGTGCCAGTTGAGACCCAAAGTTAATTGACCCACATGTAAATACAAACGACAATTGCTCACAACGTTTTTGGATGAAAATATATAATGTTTTGAAAGAATGAGGGTTTGCTTGTTTTTTTGTTTTGTCTGTTTGGTCCAACGGAGAATAATATATAGTTGAGAGTTTTGGTAAAAATGGGGGAGCGTCAATTGCATGAGACAAAATTCACTAAAACTCTCTACACCTCTTTGGTGTAACAGGACTTAAATATTTTTCAAGAAATTCCCACCTTGTAATACCTGAACCGGATAAACCTCTATGTTTGCCTCAGCTAAAGGCTCTTAGATTTTTCCTGTGTACAATAATTATCTTGATTTATTTTGCGAGGAAAGATCTGTACTTTTAAAGGATGCCTGTCATTCTTAATACGTTCAATTTTGTATAATACAGTGCAACACGGGCAACACCTCTGTTGTGAAATAGTTGCTTCAAGCGCCGCCGCACGGCGGGCGGGCGGCTAGCTCAAAACGCGCATTGGCGCCTACAAACCTAGGTGGATACTTCAAGCATAGTGCAATGCGTGAAGTATCCACTTAGGTTTGTAGGCGCCAGTGAGCCTCTCGCGCTGGCAGCACGCCGCGCTCCGCTCTGTTTGGCTTTAATATTTATACTCGTATAGTCAGCATTTTTTAACCAATGATTTTGAAATGTTAGCACACTCTGCATTGATTACTCTCATTTAAATTGATGGGAAAAAAATATGTATCAATTTATCAAAGGAGAATAAGAATATAATGTGTGTTTTTTAAATATTGGTGGTTCCGTGTCAAATTTAATGATTTCCAAAGCATTTTAATTTTTTCTTTTCCATTTTGTGCTTTTATTGTGCTGCAGCGAGGTGTACGCGCAACGAAACGCTCAAAATTTGACGTATTTGACTCTAAAAGATCGATGTACAAATGGGTTAAAACTAAAGATTGCGTGCTTCTTAGTTTTTTTCCTCTTTTATTCATGTTTGCAGTTTCAGTCGGCACAACTGTGGCTCATTGAGATTAATGTCGCTTGGAAAAGGTTTTACAAATATTTGTCACCTTTTAAAAAGAGAAAATGTTTTCAAAATGAAGTAATAATTTCGTAAAGAAAAAATAAAAAAATAAAAAAAAGTACCTACACATATATAAGGTATATTGTACATTCAATATTTTAAGGATAGAAATAAAACCAAATATTCACCAATGACAATTTAAAAATATGATTCAAAATGAAAAAGTAATAACATTTCATTTAGAAAATGAGCAACCATAACAACACCTCCTTCTCTCTCAATTTCTCATTTCCATTTTGTCAATATAATTTTACATACCGACTAAAATATAACGCTTTGACCAAGTCACCATTGTTCATTTTACGTGTGGGCGTAAAATACTGGACAAAAAAGGTGCGTGGACAACAAATCTTTGACAAAATGTCCTGAAACCACTTATGAACTCCAATCGTCAAGAATGATTTATGATTGCAACTCTTACGACCCCTCGTTTGTACAGTGCGTATCTGACTTAGTTTTTGCTTGAATTTACTAATTTTTGCGGAAGTACGCTCATTTATGAACATTCTTGGCCATCTTGGTTTGATATTCGGTGTTTTCCTAGTGTTTTTCGTATTAGACGGTTGACGTTGGCTGCCCTTTTGGGCAATGAGAGCCTCATATTTCAACATGTCCGTACACTCGCTAGGTGGGTACTCCACAGTAAAGTTCTCACTTAAATTTCTAGACTCGTAACTTTGGGATTTCTCATCATAGAGTACATAGAGTCGTAATGCAAACAGGAGAGCTCGTGCCACTTTTAATCATTTTCCAGGTCCCGAATTCCGAGATTCCTGTGTCACGCCGGGTCACTTTTTTGATACATAATCTCTTGTTTTCGATACACGGAGACCCGTCTATCTTATGTAAACATAGAGGATCGGAATTACTACGTATTCTACATCGCCATTTTTGATAAAAATGTATCGAAAAAATGACCGAAGCCCGGCGCACACCGGGCTCAGAACTCATCGACCAGAACACGGTTCCAGCTCTCCCATTTACATTACGAATTACGCCTCCATGTACTCGATGTTCTTCATTGGCGTGCGGAGACTTACTTGAATCTTTCGGGGATCTCGTAATCGATGGAGAAGGGTTTCTTCCATTTGATGGGGTTGTCAAGGAGCTGCGCGGCTTTCTCGAGAACTTTTCGGAGCTTGGCTCCGTCGATGGCGTCAGAGAGACGTCCGGCGGTGACGAGCCTGGCTTGCTGCACCTTGGCGAACTCCTCGACTTCACCACCCTCGGCGCTGTCACCGCTCCCCTCGTCGCTCTTGTCGCAGTTGAAGAAGGAATCGAAGTCGATCGACTCGATGGAGAAGTCCGGCTCGGAGAAGTTGAAGCGGAACTTGGAGAAGTTGAACTGGAACGAGGGGAACTCGTTGAACTTGGACTCGAAGAACGGTTTAGAGGAGTTCCAGCGCATGTGCGTTGGATGTAACGACGAGGCTGCTGATTCTGAAAAGAATAACTTGGGGTTCAAGATTTCAAGGTTCTATTCCAGAAATATACATACTAAAATGTATCAATAAGAGTATCAAAATTGCAATTATATGCAATTGTCTCAGCGCATTCATCTTTAATTTCTTAGGAAAATAGCCAAGCACCAATTTATTTTTGGCGACCATCGCATCAATACAAGAGACAATCAACTCTATCTACAAGCGGACCGCGAGAAATTGATTGAATCAGCGTGAGAAAACAACCGCGCACTGCCCGAAAAGATCGGTGGTACAGTTGCATCACACAGCTATATTGATGGTCATGTCGGTTTCGGTATAGTGTGACCAAAACTAATGGCTATCCAAGTGTATCTGTTATGTGAAGGCTAACATGAATATTCGCCCGATGAATGATGAGTGACGAGTTGAACAATTCGTTTGAAGGTACAATGTTTAGTTTGTTAAAATTTTCAACAAACTGTTCGAAGGGGAGCATGTATAGTTTTCACTGGGCGAAAGCAAACGAGGAAAATGACGCGGCCCTAAAGGGCCATATTGTTTGGAACATTAGTGGGGAATATCTAATGTATCCTATCTCTAAGAGCTATTTAAAGATAGAAATTAACCAAAGTAAGGAGACACAGGCCTTCCAGATAAAATGTTCGGAAACGAAACGTAAGCATTCTGTGACTATCAGTACTCGGTAAAATATTCTCGGTCTAATATTCCGGACGAGTTTTCGTTGTCTCTAATTTTTGAAATTCTATACTGATGTGTAATTTTGTGTTGTTTTCCTATTTAGATGTTCTGTCGGCTGAACTATTGACAACTTATTGAGCTGTCCTAAAATGAATCATGAAATTATTGTAGCCAACTAATCGATTTTCCTTTTTCTAAACGCATAAACAATCTTTCCACTATTTCATGAGCCAGATGTGTAAGAACTGGCGCGTGCAACTATTACGGCTTCAGAGTCGCACTCACTGCCTATTCAGACTTTTGAAGGCGAACTCGTCGAAATGCGGGCGACAAGCGTTTAACGTGCTAGACTTTTTGCTCCTATTGTGACCCGCCTCTCGTTCCTAAATATTGCGATAGAGGGCACAGCAGAAAACGTAAATAATTGTATTTTAAAGGTAATGAAAATAAATCATGAAATTAGTTTATAGCCGCGCATTGTGACAAACTCAAAGATTCACAATAATTTCCTCAGAGAAATTTCGAATGAGGAAAATAATTTCATTATTTTATTTCATGCAATCATCATTATTTTTGTGCGGCTCTGTGCGAAGAATAACGGATCCTTCTTATCGCTCCAGTCAAAGTTTACAGCAGTGCAGTACAGAGCAATTTTCACCAATTCTGTAGTGCCAAGGAAGAACGCCGTATGAGCCTTCAGACGTTTCCGAATTTCCTTCGATAAAATATGAATTTTAAAATTCGTGAATAATTTCCCTCGAATTCCTTTTGGGACTTTTATTTGCGAATAAATCTAAATTATTTAAAAATTTTAAGAGAAAATATTTATTACTCTCCTCAAAAATATGCATTTTACCGGAGGCGATTTTGCAATTCAATGTTGCAATGTTCATAAGGCGTTTTTCCTTAGCACAAAAGGTTTCTCCTGGCTTATTTCGCGGGACAACGCTCTCTCCCTTTATACCTCGGTCGTTTTCGCTTCGCTTTGATCAGACACGCCCATTTTTGGAGTAATTGAACTGATCCATTTGCCCGTCTAAAACACGAGTATATTTCGCGAGTTCATCTGCCGCGTTTTTTTGTTTTATACCCACGCTGACTGAGCATCAATTATTTTCGATTTTCCTTCTACGGTCGAATGACGCGGCACGCATGCGCACGCCGCCGACTGCCCAGGCAGATAAACTGGACGTATTTATGCTAAAAGGAACTATGTGCATAGGGATTGCGTGAAACATAGTTCCTTTTAGCATATACGTCCAACTAATAACACTAAACGCCATGAAATCGGTTTTCGCGACCTTCAACTTGATGCTTCACGTTTCCCGGCCGACGCCAGTTTCTGATTGGTCCATTCTTCGTCCTCTTAACACCATCCAAGGTCAGTTTCCTCCTCCGGTTACCACGTGACTCGTCTCTTTTACGGGTGAGGACACATATCTCATCGCTCTTTAAGTTGGTCAGATGAAAACATTTTGGAGGGCTCAAATTAATATTATGTTGGAAGTGGCAATTCTCAAAAGTTGGCAACACTGTTTTTCCTTCCTTTAAATGTATAAAAAACATCGATTATCGATTCTTGGTCAGGTAGCTTGCCTCACCTGAATCGATATATTTAGTGGATTTAAATTGAGGAAAAACAGTGTTGCAAATTTGCAAAATCGCCACTGTGTAACGGTCGATCAGAATGAATTATAGTAAAAGAAATGCCAGCGGTGGTGTCAGGTAATTGGCTACATAAGAGTAGCGTCGAAATTCGTTCGAAGCATGTGCTAGGGATCCTCTAATAAAATTGAAGAAAACAATTAAATAAACAAGGACCTAAGCTCGGTCTTCAGACTCCCAATTGACGCCTTTCCGTGTGGTGAATTACACCTCCTTCCTTTTTTGCACCTCAAAAATAAAAGAGAAAGGACAGGAAGGAGGAGAATGGAAAAGGGGGAAAACGTTATTTTTTCCGGTCACTTGATACTCATATTAATGTAGAATATAATTTAATTTACCTCTCTTGGAGTTTTAGATGACGAGTGGCAAGAACAACACTGGACATCACATTTTAAATAATGAGCGAAGACGAGGAATTTGGGACTCTAAATTCTTGACATTTTGTCTGGCTTAATTTGATGAGAATTTGTATAGGGACGGGGATCAAAAACGAAGGAAACTGCGAATAAAGACTTCAGTGGACCAGAATCTGTGTTTGGACAAACGAGAGAGGTAGTTAGGACAAAAATGGGCCATGATAAAGCCTTACGAGGACTATGGGCGAGAGCAGAAGGGATGATACACTTAAAGCTCATGCTTCCTGGATACTATGGGAATTTTTCAAGAAATATGCCAAGACTTGAGACTAAATCTCAGTTTTTCTGACGCGTGAGTATCTAAACATATGAGGGTCTGATATTTTAATAAAAAATACCAAAGAATAATCAAGACAATGATGTGCCTCTGGGCCTTCTGGGCTGCAAATCAGTCAAGAATTTGTTCCTATTCTTCATAATAACTTGTAAAATGAAAGAGGAATAATTTAGTATGTTGCATACTTGTGTCTGCGCGAGTACCAATATACTCAGGGCACAGGTGTTGCTTGCCGACCATGCTGAGTAATGTGCACGCAACCTTCACAAACCCCACTATTATTGTGGTTATTACGTCTATATCAACCATCTGAAAATAAAAAAAAAAAACAACATATATTTATTTAAGAAATAACTTCGTCTGCAATCATTTAAAATGTTATGCTGTATGGGAACTAGGTTAACGGTAAATTCAACCTCAAAATCAATATAAGTCTGATTCTATTTTTAGACGGACGAAATTTTACCGTAAAATTTTTCGATTTAAAAGTCGTTCTCTATACGCTTTCCCTAAAAAATCCTCCTTACGAAATGATACCTTCATCATAAGTGACTTTGCCTTCAAAAGAGTTCATTGAATTCAAGAAATAATTATTCATATAACGCCGTTGGGGGATTACATACGCGTTGTTTTGAAGGCGATTTTTACGCGTGGCATGACAAACGCTCATGGCTGAATCGTTTTTCTTTAAATTTTGCATTACTATAGGTCACCTCACTTCTTGGTACGATTTCAATTTAAAAAAAAAACTTTTTGTCACACAGGAAACTACGCGTGATTTCTTTCTAGGAATACCTCTTTTGACGCCTTTAATAAGGGTTGATTGTACTATTTAAACAATGAACACGAAGAAAATTGAAATTTCGTAAAATACAAATGAGTTACTGTAATATCACTTCTCTATGCATGGCTCATACAACGCAAAGTAACAGCAGCATATGAAAACTGTATGAAACTGTTTTCTCGCTCGTCGAGCTTCAAAGATTCATCAAAATCGTCAAGAAAAACCTAATCCTTATTTATAATCGCTCGCATATGAAGTAGAGGCAATTCGTTAGTTTTAGTCATGGCGGAAATTTAGTCGTGGATAAGTCGTGCAATTGGATATATTTAAGCAGAAAGGAACAATGCGAACAGGGGTTGCGTGCAACACACCGGAGCCTCGATTATCCACGTTTCAAATAACCGCGAATCGGATTATCCGCGCTTCAATTAACCGCTATTCCTAATAATTATATTTCTATCCACTGAGTATTCGAAAAGTGTTTTAATAGAGTCCTAAATTATTTTTTGATCACTATTCCTTGCCATGATAGTTAAGTTTTTGATTATCCGCGAGAGCTCCGGTCCCAATTATCGCGGATAATTGAGACTAAACTGCGGTTCATTTTAGCATAAATATGTTCAATTAATTGCCGTCCGTTTCAGTCCAACTACATTTAAATCCATGAAGCTTTTCTTTACAAAAGATGATCCTTTTTCTGCGAAGATCATATGAAATCGACATTTTTCATAGTGGTGAGGGTACAAATACAAAATACTCACTCGCATAGGGGACAACTTTCGACGCTGGATTCCAAAAAAGAAAAACAAAAGGAGAAAAATCGTAATTCCACTCATAAGTCTTTAGAAAGTCATCCCTTTACTCACCGCAATGGGCCTGTTGCAAACTTTTGCTAGAGCAAAAATAAGAGTTGTTTCTTCTAGATAATGCCTCAAAAATTACGATGAGCGCATCGGCAAAGTCTGAAATGCACTCATAACTTCACAGTCTGCGTAAGAAATTTGCGGGTTTTTGAGCTTCCCGCTTCAAAAACGATACTACGGCACAGGTGAACATTTTGTAAGATGGTCGTTCCATCGTCGGCAATACTCATCATGGCCGACGCCAATCCGCCAAAACACGTGTGATGGGACGAGACCAGAACACCTGAACTGGATTAGACCAGATAACAATCGGCGAGTTAACGTACATATTTTCCACGCCCGAATTGATTGACCTTGAACTCTCCTCGAATTNTTGCGCAATGCGTGAAGTATCCCTGTTAGGTTTGTAGGCGCCAGTGCACCGCCACTCCGCTTTGTTTTAGGCTCTAATATTTAATCTCGTGAAGTCAGCTTTTTTCAACTCATGACTTTGAAATGTTTGCACACTCTGTATGGATTAATCTCATTTTAATTGATGAAAAGAAATATGTAGTAAAGGAAAATATAATGTGCCTTTTGTAAATATTAAGGTGATTCCGTACAAACTTAAGGATTTACAAAGCACACGAATTTCTACACAATTTCTTATAGCCTTTTATAGCCGATGGCGAAAAAGCAACTGCCAGGCGATAAAGTGCAAAGCCCGGCGATAGGAACTATAGCCCGGCTGTATAATTTTTTATCGCTTCGTGTAGCCCGGCCGTAAGATTTTTTCCCATTTTCTACAGCCGGCTATATGATTTTTTATCGCCTTCTTCAGTCGGCTATAAGAACTCCTACGGTATTTTGAAACGCAGTTCCTATCGCTAATTTTTACCAGGGATACCCTGTTACATTTTACTTTCCTTAAAGAAAGTCCGGGTCTTTTTTGTGCACTAAATTTTGATTGATTTCTCTTCGTTCTTTTAACGGTTATTTTCTAAAAATTTCGTTCAAAAATAAAGAGCAATATTACTTGTCTCTTACACCCCTCCCCCCCCCTCTTTCCCAAAAATTATGATCGAATGAAATTAGAGCAGAACTTTCTAAAATAGAGCAATCGAGATCCGAAGTCCGATAGTTCCAAGATTTATGAATTAAACTGCTGTGCTGAGGAAGAACGCGCCGAATGAGCCTTCAGACGTTGCCAAAATTCCTCCGATCAAATATAAAGCAAGGAAACTGCTGGATATTTTTCGACAATTTTTTTAGACAACTTTGTGCAGAATTCAATCTAATATATCTCAAAATTCCCAGGAAAGATTTGCATAACTTTCCTCAAGAATACGTATTTAATCCGGGGAAATTTGGCAACTCTCGAGCGTTCATACGGCGTTCTGCCTTAGCACGGCAGTATAGATATCCTCCACTCCTGAATAAAGCAGTGGCGTGACGTGCTTTGCGACCTATAGCGATTGATCTGCCATTTAAACCTATGGAAAAGGATCGATAAAGAGGGTGTTCGCAACGAACACCTTAAAAATCGATTCTTTACCATAGCTTCAAACGAGGAAATATCGATAATCGATAATCGAACATTCACGCTTCGCCACTGGATTAAAGGAATGTAATCGGCGAGGGAAAGTTAAATTTGAAGATTAGAACTAATTTTTGTACCATCTTTTTAAAAAAGTGGCGGGGACAAGGCGTCGCGTCGTTTCCCGAAGAAAGAGACGTAATTCCATTCCAAGGGCGCATACTTGACTAAAAAAATGGATATTTTACAAAAATATGACCCTGCAATTTCTGTACAAAATTTTGCTGATTTTTGCTTGTATTCCGAAGAAAATTCTGAGATTGAGTGAGATTTTCCGTATGAAATGCCTAGCGGTTGCCTTAAATGTCTAGTTGAAATGTGGACTCTGGAAGAAAACTCGCAATGTTGAAATGTTGATACATCCTCTTGTCTAGAAAACGATGTAGAGTCCTCTCACTTTGAATTCCAGGATGGGAAGAGGTACAAAACACATGAGAGTAATTGGACCGCGTTTAAAAGAAAGGAACCAAGCCACATCGGCTGTTGCCACATTTAACTGAGGTTTTTAATTTTCTACAAAAGAACGTTTGTGCGAATTTGTTTGAAAATTTTAGGGTATCTGTCTTATAACATGCAGAAAATTCACTGAAATTTTCAAACAAATCCGCTCCACCGTTTTCATGTAATAAATTAAATTGCCCAGTTAAATTTGACAATGGCTGATGTGGCTTGGTTCCTTTCTGCTTAACGCGGTCCAATTGAGAACACGCCTGGAGGAACTCTTTATCGTTGCATCAAGGTCTCTTTATTCATTGCATGGATATCTACTCTTCCGCTGATGTTTAACTGTGAACTATTTTAACAAGGTAGGAAAATTTTATTTCCTTTTCTCGTATTTTTTTACAGGACGAAACAATCTTAGGACAGATGATTTACGGTGCTCGGTACTTCGATTTGCGAGTTGGTAATTACAACCGATCCTCCAGCGACACCTGGTGGGTCAACCACGGACTCAGTAGGACTCATCCTTTGAGGGAGGTCATTCATGATATCAAACTGTTCCTGGATAACACACAAGAAATCATCCTTTTGGATTTCCACGAGTTTCCAGTCGGTGAGTTTAATGGGAGATTAGCCTCTGTACTATGTCGCGGGAGAAAAAAATACGGTAAAACAGTGGGCGTCAGAGACACACGGCAGACAGGGCGAAAAACGTTACCGAAACTAAACTCTTTAGCATCCTAAATCTGCCGGTTAAGGTATATGAGCTGCAAGAGGTGGAAGGTAAGGAACACTAAACATGTCTGCCTTCTTTGTTGCTTCGTTGGGATCGAAACGTTTGTATAATAGTTTGTTGCAGCTAAGATCGATTGACACAATTAATCGTGCCCAATGAAATAGCTGCGATTTAAGTGATTTTTTCGGTTGAAAAATAGATTTTTCAGGAAAATCGATTGAAAATCCGCAAAATTAGAACATAATCACCGATCACATAATCAAGATCGAACCGAGGAAAAGAGGTTGGCAGATATATTTCTCGTTTATCGACGGTGTCAGTCGGCAATCACATAACTCGGTTTGCGACGTCGCAGACTTCCTGTCATACTTTATTTTTTAAACGGAAAACTACTCAACGGCATTCCTTTAAAGCTGCCGTGATTTTTCTTCTCTGTGCGAATAAAATTCTGCATGAACTTCCCGGAATGATGTCAATTTGTTCTCCTTGAAAAAAATAACATTGAGGCGGTGATTTTCAGGCACCGCAAAGGAGATATGTGATTGCAGACTTACTCCGTCGTTATATGTAACTGAAGAAAATAAGGCTCGATGCCTAATTGGACGGAGTTAAACAGAAAGGAACCGAGCCACATCGAGATAGAACCGAGAAAAAGAGGTTTAAAGTTTAGCTCCTGCATAAGGCTCAATGTAAAAGATAAACTTCAGGTTCAATTTCTGCAAAATTTGCTCCAACAAAAACTTTGAATTTTTGGCGATAGATAGTAAAGCAGTGGTTGAGTTCAAAACCACTCATTTTTCCCAAAATGTGGGTTGGTTCCTTTCTGCTTAGCTCAGTCCAATTTTAGTACGACTAATTGCGTGGATCCGATTTGCAGGGTTCAAGTCGAAGAAGAACTTGCCGCACGAT